GGGGGGGGGAGAGAGAGAACATTCTCCATGTGTTCTCATATAGTTTTGTGGTATCTCAGTACTTTACATTTGATGACAAAAAACTTAGTTGTTGCATTGTCATTTATACTCATTGTGCAGCTAATTCATATACAAAACAGTTAAACTAGAGTATCTGTTACATTTTTTTACTTATCAAATTTATACTCATTCAACCAAGATGCAGCTAAGTATGTGGCAAAGAATGAAATAAACCTATTTTTTTGACAGTTTTATGTTACAAAAAACATTTCCACTGTCTTGGATCAGTCTTTTGACATCTATAACAATTACACCTTAAATTTATTTTCAGTCTTTCACTTCCAAGCAGCTTTATTAGCACATGCCCAAAATGAAGAGGCAATTAGTCAGCTACAACCGAAGTAGTGGAAAATGCAAAACCTGATCCTGCTTGTCCTATGCCCCGCCAAAAGTTCAGACTAGGTGATTAACGAAGTTGCAGATATTAATGAATCTCTCTCATAATACCTTCTGCACAGAGGTGAAACTGGGCAACTAATTTTATCTAGAGCCAGCACATCATCGCTGCATAAGTTGTCAGATATCACTACACCAATTCTTAAAACCCGTACGCTTCTATGCAGGCCTACGCAAAGCAAACCAGCCCTGCCAGTAAAAGAGTAAACTCTGAGTAATCCTGTTGTACTGGGTCTGGCTGAGATGGAGTGAATTGTTCTTGACAGCAGCCTGTACAGTGCCATGTTTGAGACTTGTGACCGAAACGATGCTGTTAACACCCTAATGCTTTAGCTACTGGTGAACAGTGTTTGCGCAGCGCCAAGGCCTTCTCCACTTCCCACTCTGCACAACCCAGTGAATAGATTGGGGGTGTGCAAGGGGTTGGGATGGGACACAACCAGCCAAATGACCCCAGGTAACCAAAGAGGTATCCCATGCCATAGAACGACACGCTCAGTAATTAGCTGTGAAGGAGTGGGGCTTAGCCAGGTTAGCCACCCTTTGCTCAGGAAGGCTGAGCAGCAGTCTACACATGGGAAACCTGAGTGAGTGCCTGTACTTCTTTGCCTTTGTTTTCTCTCTTTCTTTTTCCACTTCTTCACTTCTTAAACTATTTTTATCGCAACCCATGAGTTTTCTCATTTACACTGTTCTTTCCTTCTTCATCTCTTCTCCCGCAGTGGGCATGGGAGGGGGAAGTGAGGAAGCACTGTGCAGCGCTTAGCTGCCTACCAGGGTCAATCCACAAGACCTGTTCTTTTCTGAATAGCTGCTCTTGACTCTGTTACCTGTTGCTAGCTAAAAGAGAAGGTAGAGAGAAGATGGAACCAGAAGATTCTTGAAAGCGCATGATGACAGGACAAGAAGCAAAATACAAGACAGCAATCAGGAAATTCTGACTATATACAAGGAAAACATCGTTGACCACAAAGGTTGCTGAATATTGAATGCAGTGCTAGTCACAGCTTTCCCCAGCAGAAGGGTAATGTGTGACTACCCACCATAGAGCAGCATGATGAGAGGATGCAGATAAAACAGTACACTAATCCAGAAATATCTTTAAATAAAAGCTATAGAGAACAACACAGTTAAACCAAATGGGAAGAAAGGCTGAAGCATAAGGGACAAGGTAGGTATGATGTTTATAGAAGGGAAATGTGTGGCAGAAGAAGGGATTGAATTGGGAAAGGATCCAAGTTATAAAGATGCGGCTGAAACATTAAGGAACTTACAGCAGTAAAATGGAGGAATGTCTATAGCATCTTTTAAATCAAGGTCATTATGCACAATTTTCTGAATTTCTTTGCGTATTTAAAATAGTTAACTGAATAGAATTCATAGACATTGGAGTTTTGTTTGTCATTTGTTCTAATGCCTCCACCTTGTTCACTTCCATTCTGTGTTTTCCTTAAACACATTTCAGATGTTCTCTTTGCACAATATCTAAGTAATTTCCCACTTCGACGTTTTTTAGGTAAGAGGGAAGTAAGGAAATATTCATCTAGGAAATCAGCCACTCCCTGGCATCCTTTGTTCATTGCTCTTTCAAGAACAGGCAGAAAGCAGAGTAGACAGGGCAATTATTCTGGCATTCCTTCCTCGCAGAGATCAAAAGCCCATCTTGTTGCAGGGCTGGAAGTACTAGTGTCATTTCATCACATTGTTTTATCTACTCTGAAAGTGTGTGTTACATCACAAAGAGGAAACAAAGTATTACTCCAATGCTTTAAAAAAATTTTTTTTACATACATACACATGTATGTGTGTATAAAATATAGGATATATGCATATAATTATATATCTATATATATGGATAAATTTTGATAGATCTACAAGGCATTATAACATATTAATATATTATACTATATTTTCCTATAGGTTGCATACCATAATTCCTTCAAGAAAAGCACCAAATAAGTATTTATAGAGATTTTTACATTGTTGCTGGTCAATAATTAGATGGTAGTGTTATACTACTGCCACCCCATCCAAAAAAACAACCAACACTCAAAAGGCAATTCTGAAGCCAAATTATGCTCAAATCAGAGCTTTTCAGCAAAAAGCTGATTTTACTCTTTCTTTTTAATAGACCTCTCTTTCTGTTTTAATACATTTTAATGTACATAACACCCTAAAATACAGCAAGAGCAAACCTAGCTCCTGTTGAGTTGCAGACAAATTCTCAACACCTTACAGAGGCTATCGCTATCATCATAATCATCATCATCGTAAACTTTTAGACTGAGAAAGTGAAGTGAAAACAGCAACTGCTTTGCCTAAGGACTTAGCAGGTCTTTGGAAGACCAGAAGCATAAAAAGTGTCTTCCAAGTCCTTGCTTAGTACGCTGTGTTTCTTTCTATGTGTTTGTGTATATACATATACAATTTATATCTATATGGATACATACGTATATGTGCATATAGACACGTACGCATAAAACATACACACATTCTTTTTGTTTCTTTAACCAAAAAGAGTAGAACAGGACATATTATGGGCATATTAAAACTTTTCAGCTGTTACAGCTTTTGCTACAGCAAAATACATTTATCGAAGCTGTCAATGCCACTGAGTTGATAGGTCTTTTATGAACTCTTGGAAATTTGACTAACTGAACTTAAGAGTGTTCTACATTACTGTTTAATAAACATACAAGATTTGCATACAAGACAGTCAGACAAAAGATTTGGTCTAGCACAGAAGTGCCTGTTGCTCTTAACTGCATACCATAATTCCTTCCAGAAAAACACCTAATATGTATTTACATTGATTTTTAGGTTATTACTCATCAATAAATAGATGGCAAATCTTTCCTACTGAAGAACTTGCAAAAACATTAACCAAAGTAATTTAAACGTAATTTTTTTTCCTTTTAATGTATTTAACAAAATAGAACTTTCCAGTTCGTTATTGCACTAATACATACCACAACTCCAAATTGTTCTGGTTCAGCAAGATCATTATATTCATCCTTTAATTCAGCTAAGGCATTGAGTTCTTTCTGCTCAGGAAGATTCTTCACTAGGTTCTAAAACAAACAAGGCATTATATTAAATTTGTTATATTAAATTAGTTGGGATCTTAAAATAACATGCTTAAAATACCACAACACGGAAATACATGAAGAAATTATGGGAAGCTTATTTTATTTATGCAGCTTTAACACTTTATAAACATCAAATCAAACCAGTAATTATTTAATACAGACATCAGCACCTCTGTTACAATCTCTAATTTGAAGAATGCCTTCTCAGTACTGAAAAGTTAGACAAAACTCTTAAATGCTGTCAACCCCTGAAGAATTATACTCGATCTAAAATCCTTCTTTGCCTTTGTGATTGCATCTTGCTCATTAAATATTAATCGAGAAATAACTGGCCTGTGTAAAGCAAGACATAACTACCTAAAAAAAAAATTTTTAGACATTATTCAAAATAGCTGTGCACAAGAGTCACTTAAAACACTTTACACAGAAAAAGAGCAACATCTCAAAATTGTACAGCTCTTGTGCATGCCAAATATACTGGAAGTCAGCAAAAAGTAGAACTTGCTTAAAGTCTTATCCATGTCCCTACAGAAAACTGCATGATTGATTATACGACCTTAACATCTCAAAATACAGATATGCTAAATGCATTATAAGGCTGAAGAATACTTCTAAGAGATACTCCATAAAAGTTTAAGCTGTATTTAAATTTTGATATCTATGTGAGCCAAAAACAAAGCATGAATTTAATTCAAGAGAAAAAAACTATACATTTACATTCAAGCAAGTGTCAATAGGTTTTTTTGGTTCAAAAAGGTTCATAGATCTTAAGATGCAAAAACCAAAGTGTATTAAAATATTATTAGCTGATATGATTACGCACAGCTGTCCACACACAGCGAGTGACCTTTAATTAATTTCCAACCTCCATTAACCACCTATACTCCTATTAAAGACAAAAGAATGCATTACTTCGGATAATGGATCTGGGATCCAAAACTCTGTAGTAGCTTGGAGGCAAGTGTGATTCTGCGGAATTTCAAAGAGTGTTGAGTTATGGCCAAGCACTAGCCACTGAATAAATCAGAGAGACCAAGTTGGAGACATTTACCTATAGAAGAGAGGCAGAGATACCCCCAAGATTTAGGTGAACACAGAGTCCCTCCTGCTTTCCAGTGTGGCCCTTAGGAGGATTTTTTGGGGCCTAACTGCCTAACCACATAGTAAAAGGACGTAACCTGTTTCTGTATGCTCGATAATTTATAGACACTTAATATGGATATAGGGGCCAAAGAAGTAGCCTACTTCTGTTATTGGTAACTTCTGAAAAATCAACATGAGATTCACCTAATTCCATCGGGCAATGACTCCTGTACCAAATCACTAACTAAAATTTCACACAGAAATTATTTTTTTCTTCTGTACAGACACAGCAGGTCCCGAGGTATTAAAGAGAAAAAGGGGTACAACTATGTTCTTCAACAAGAAGCTCCTACTTTATGAAGCCACCCTCTGAAACTTGTCTAAGTAAACTGTAGAACCACTGTCAGGTTTAGAGGTTTACTTCCAACAAAGTGTCTACGGAGATGCAGTTCACAGATTTTAGTGAAGATAAGGTAATGTGCTAAAGCTACAACAATTAAACCTTTTGAAACTTTCTGCAACACCAGTCATCGAAGTAAAACATTTCAGAACATGCTCCTTGAACTTGACGCTGTTCTGGTTAGGTTATTAGCACATCAGTTCTCCTCTCCTACCACCAGAAAAGGTGTATCGCCATGTGTTCCCATAAGATATGAATAAAATAGAAGGGACATGCACACTGACACTATCAGAGAACTGATAATGATTGTTTAGGTCTATGTCACAAAAAGACTCTGATGTGAAAAAAAGTTATGTGCCTTTTAAAATCAGAAAAGCAACCAGCGCTATAGAAGCGTATTTTTTAGCCAATATAAAAATCTTAATCAGAGAAAATCTGCACTATCAAAGGTAAGCATTTTTAGAATATACCCATCTGGCCATCACTCTCGTAATATTCTTACTCATTAGGAGAATTTGATTACTGATAACTCTGCCAGGCTGGATGAAGCAGGCGTTAAGGTACAACTTTCAGAAAGGCATCAGTCCAATCTGTGAAATTCGCAAATGATAGCTAACTTAATTCTCCAGGCTGAAAGAATCAAACATTCAAGACATCTTAATAAGGAAAAATAAACATGACAAGCAGTCTCATACAAAGGGTCTCTGTTACAGAAAGATTTTTTTTTTTTACACTTACACCAGGGAGCTACTGAGTGTCTTGGCAAGGAGAGTTCAATATACTTGACAGAGATAAGCATCAGATTCACCTGGATGCCACACAATTAAGCCATGGCCTCATGTTTAAACCTAAGCATGCCTCCTTTGCTATTAACCCAAAATCATGCCCCACAACTTTCTATTTTAAAAAAGTAAGTCATCTCTAAAACATTCTTGTTCACGTGATTGACTGTTTTACACTGGTAAAGATCAAAGACATTAACTAACTGAATAACGTTATTTTTTAACCTATTTTCATTAGTTAGACTATGTACCAAATGCTGTCATCAACAATTTCACAGTGTTTGTCAGAAATTTATATTTCCTTACAAATTAATAAACTTACTGTAAAGCATTATTTTTTCCATCATTGCAGAAATACAAGTACCTACTACTAAAACTGCCTTTTTTTTTCAGCCATGTAATCAAAATCTGTTAGCATGGTTGATCATTTCTTTTTCCTCATCCATACCCCTTCACAGTCTAGAGCTAACCCATCAACTCATTTTACCCTCAGCTTCTAAGAGGGAGAGTTTGGCTCTACTAGCACTGCAGCTTCCTATATATGCTTAGATATGTTTTCTTTCATTAATTGTATTGAATAACTTAAAATGAAGCTAAAGCATTCAGTGATTACATACTTAAATCCTTGTCAGTACTTTAGGAAACAGAGTTTCATAATGTATTCATGATGATGTAAGTTCAAATAAAAATAAGGTAAATAAAAATGGTTTACATAAACATAAAAAAGAAGTAGAAATCTAAGGCTGACATTAAGACACTGAAACTGTCACTCACTACTCTGTCACAGTGCCCTGAATTCTGCTAAACGTGGTGTTTGAGAATTGTATGTTTAGAACTTACTCTGTCAAAGACACACTGGGAATTGAGACTATTTTCTCCGAGAGTGTCTTCTTTAAGGAAAAGTTACAACAGTATGTATAGTCTACCATGTACTCAAACTTATTAAAATTAGTTGGATTAATAAGCATTACAATATAAGTTTGAAAAGCAGCAAGAAATGAGGACTTAAGAAGCATAACTGAAAAAGCACTTTTCTATATGCTCAGTTATGCTATACCTGTTTAGCTTTCACCACTTTCATACTTAGAACAAAGCAGTATCTACATGTGCATTTTTATAAAGTCCAAGTTTTGCTAAAGCATGAAAGCAAGCAAAGTTTGCTTTGCAAATTTTTTTCCAATCAGTAGTACAGAAAACTGTTAAACTGGTAAATTAGTTAATAACTCAGTTGGAAGATTAGAATAAAAATAAACAAAAATAGTCTGAACATGAAATAGATGATTCAGCCCATTTACTCCAATAAGTTTCTAAGAATATCTTTAGAAACACAGAATACATCTCTTCAGGATTATCAGCTATATCTCCCTGCTATTAGAAGCAACTCTGCCACACCATGTCCTTGGACCAATCCCCAAAGTCTCCATTTTTTTGAAGATTACAGGGAGCAGAGTTTCTAGATAGTTGCATTCATGATGAATTCATATATATTTATGAATGTTCATGTTGCCTTTTATTTATGCAACTTCAGTTTTCTCCCAACACTTATGCACATCACTTCTCATATAGTTATAATGCAGTCATATCCCCTCTCAAGTATTTATATTGCTAATCTCATCTATTTTTTCCTACCTTTCTTCTGTAGACTGTTTCTCCATCCCTCAATCAGTTTTTAAGTTCAGCTTTGCCATTTTAAATTAATTTTTGTTAAATATACCAAGTATTTTAGATAAAGTCTTAGAAGTGCATTATTCAAAAGCATAATAATGATGCTCTCTACTAGAAATACTTGACCTGATACAGCTTGCAGTCACATTTGCCTTTTTTTACGGTGTACTGGGTAAGGCTAGGATGAGGTTAATTTTCTTCAGAGCAGCCCGTACAGTGCTGTTTTGACTCGTGACCAGAACAGCACCGCTAACACCCCACTGCTTTAGCTACTCCTGAACAGCACGTGTGCAGCTTGAAGGCCGCCCCACTTTCTCATTCTGCAAGTGGGCCGGGGCGGGCAACCTGCGCGCCAGGGCAAGTGGTCGGGGGGGGGGGGGGGGGCTTCTCTGTTCCGCGTAAGCTACACCACAGTGGTAGCCGTACTTGTCCCGTTGAGCACAGACCCGCTATTACCTCTCCTCAATCACTTCCAACCGAAAAGCAACCATTACAACATTAGCTTCCAAAATTTTACAGTTAACAAGTAAGATCATGACCTTACACTTCAGCATAACATATTACACGCTATCGCTATTAATCTAGGTCTCAAGATATCTCTACATTTGTTGTAGAGATCACTATACCGACACTAAACCGTTTGCATCAGGGGTATTCAAGGTGGTGTTTTTCCCCCCTGTTGATTTTTGATTTTACTAATCCTGTAGGCTTCTCAGTCAAATGATCTGATATCCCTAATAAAAAACGTAAACTTAGCACGTCTTACTTATTTCCAAATACTACGTATCATGCACATAAGCTTTTTGTGAGAAGGCATACTCAGTGGTCAAAGATAGCATTTTTAGCAATGTAAATATATATTAGAAATGCTAATCGATTTCACGCTGACGTGGCCTGAAGCAGGCCACCAGAGTGAAACATGTCAAATAAAGTCCCCATCCAATGGGAACTTCCAAGAACATTATACCATAGCAATAAAAAAAATCCCAGCAGCACCAGAAAACAAACAAAATCACTAGTATGTATTTCCAAACACATTCGTTACAGTACTCTAGGTCTCAGAATATGACGCTACAGGAGATAAAACAATATGTAGTGCTGTTGAGTCCAACAGTTTGAAGTCTACAGAAAAAGAGAAGCTCGTCCTTTAGAGACACAAGGAAAAAACCTCTAGAAATGTAGGAAGGCCTTGGCGACACAAGAAAAAACGCAGACAAAGGACAAATAAATATATTTTGAAATATTTCATTCCATTTACACTGTACATTTTGCATACTATTTTTATTTAAGAACATACGTGTTAAAATTTGAAGAAGTTATGAATTACGTAACTAACTCTGAAAAGACCAGGCGACTCAGTTTAGCCCAGCACCCCTGGAATAACCATTTTCCAGGTCCAATGAAGAAGAAATTAACTTAGAAACCCTTCAAGGAATAAGACAGGGGTGCAAGCAGGAGACGGGGAAGGATGAAAAGAGAAATTGAGGCCAAGTATGGTTTTTTAGAATTTGAATCTGTGTATGATATTAAAATAAACCAATTCAACACCAGTATCATCGGTGTGCTACATCTGTATACCATTTTAGGTGTATATATGTCTCTCTTGTGCTCTGTCACTCCACAGAGATGATGAGGGGCAGCATACACACTTGCTCTCCGACTGTGAGAAAAATCAGAGGGATGCAGAGAAGCTCTATTCCATCCTTTCTTCTTTCCAGCTGAGAGATTTTGGGCTCAAAATAAGATCAAACCAGCTCGAGAGGAGGTTTTATTTACAGATGTTTTTTGAGTTGTAGCAGTATCCTGAAACATTCAGGTTGTTTCATCTATCAGGAACGACAAGCAGAGCTGTTTCCACAAGAAGCCTCACGAAACTTCATTATCCACCAGCCTAAATCTGGTAAATGCTTGTTTTCAAAACTGAAAAACTGGAATTATCAGATAGTTCTTTTTGAAAGGAAAACTTGATAAGGTGAGAGATTCGAAAGTACTTTTGATAACTGTCTTTTAAAGACAGTTTTACCACTATATGTGACCATCATCAAAAGCAGGAGTGAAATAAACAAAACAGTAAACACAACTGATACACTTGTAGCTGATATCCAGAAGCTTTACACTGTTCTTACTCTTGAATTCTTATACCTTTACAGCATTTTTACACAGAAAACAAGCTATGAACAACACCAGAGATATTTTCACATACCTGAATCAAGGATTCACTCAGCTTCTCTTCGTCAACCTCTAAAACGATATTTTTTATTTCTTCATAAGGCAATCGGAAAGAACCCAAAAATATGGCTGAAATTCAGTAATAAATAATTAGAATCAAAAAGGTCAAAAAGATTGACATAAGAAGGCAAACTTAATTTCTAGCAACTGAAAAATCGTATCTTGATCTAAATTAAGATGATTCACCATTAAAGACATTTTCTACAAATGCTAGATGAGGCACACTATTGCAGTTTGACTTATAATGAATTTCATTCCGAAGAAATGAAACTATGACACCACTTTTAACTGTTCAATCAGCCTCAGTTGCTCCCTATTAGTGTTACTCATCTCTAGCAATGAAGTCCTATTTTTATGGATGGCAACATCTGCATTAGTACTTAAACAGACTTATTCAGCCACTAGAAGACTTAATTATTTTTTGCTTTCATACCCGTGTGTGAATGGCTGTACTGCATTTACAACTGGCTGAATATTTACATGACCTTTTCCAGAAAAAATTCCATGTCAAAAGTACAATGAAGAGCTGGATAATACCCTAAGTCTACCACTTTTTGGGGTAACTAAAAACTTATACAAGAGACAATGTATATTGTATTCCCTTCAGAGATGGAGTTCTCAAAGCAATTTGATCTCAGGATGTTATAACATCTCAACAGAGTCCCATTCTATAAACTACAAAGTATTCCTCACACAGATGGATTAGCATACCATTTTAATGAAGTGCTGTGTATTCAAGCTAACTACTACCTTCCTGCCTCCATATTTCCAAAATCAAGTTTTATAGCACTTGTGTCATAGTTCATTTTCTGCTTAAGAAAATGTGCCCATGGATGTGGTCATAAACAACGCACAGATTTGGTTTTACACACTTCAGTTGCCACAGGCATAGATGGACTAGTGACATTTTACGGTATTTTTAACTCAAATAAAAGAATCTGCTACTCTTAATGACTGATTTCCCTCCATAATTAAAGAGAGAAGGAGGAAGTTAAAAAAAAAAATTGGTGAGGCTGTTTTCCTTACATTTTATTGTAGTAGTATTTGCACCTAACTTACCCTGTTTTGTAATATTTTTCTCTTTGAAAGTCTTACGCCCATCAAGCTCAATTTCTCTATTACTGTAACCAGAAAGAACCATTAGGAATAGCCTCTCAACCCCAACAAGCTACCAACACTGCGCCTTCCCTGAAGTGGCAATTATCATTTAATTATACTTCCAGTCTAAAGCAATTAATTAAAGAATCAACTCTTTGTTACAAACAAATACAGTTCATTAACATTTTAGTCTACACCATTTTTCCATATTACTTCAAGTTTTCCCAAGTTGTGTAGTGAGTTCAAATCATATGTATGTAAAAATACTTCTGAAGACTCATGTTCACATTAGTCCGTTTTCAGAAAAAGAATCTGCACATGTAAGCAAAAAAGAACACTAAGAACAGTTGTATGCATATGCTAATTAGATATTCATCTAACGCATTTGACATCACTTACATAAATTTTGAGCAGTTTTTCCATCCAAAATTCTTAATTCTTTAATCCTTTTCTTAGACTGAACTATTTTCTTTTCTTCTGAATCTTCTACTGCTTTTTTAGCTGGAAAGAATGCATTTATTAAATTCTGATTCATTATTACAACTGTTCAATCTTAACATACTAATAGCAACTCAGCTAGAAAGCCGTAATAATGCATCTATTGGAATCAGTTCAAGGCGAAATGAATGCACTGCCTCAACGTACTGTAAAATGTCCAAAGAAACAAAGCAAATTTACAAAGTCAGGGGGAACATGAAATGAAAATGTTAACATGACAATGACCAATCTTCCCAAAGACTGTAAAATTATACGTGTACATTTTAATGCACAAGATTTTTTATCTTCAGCTCCAGTTTATTCCAAGCAATTTTAAAAATACAGTGATTTGGTGTCACCTTGAAGCACGTGAGTGCCCTCTGTTGAAATACTAATGAAATGGTATTTAAGTTCTTAATCCAAAACCAATTAAGATAAATCATTTGAGATTTATCACACTACACAAAGGTAGGTTTTTACTAATTGTTTATGTTGTCACTTTTAGAGAGCAAAACCAAATAAGAAAATACCATATATTTTAATTTGATTTATTTTTAATTAGCAAGGATTGCTATTCTTATATTCAGTACTTAAAATTATACAGAATTATAGAAAGTAATGTGGAATATTTAAAATACATGCTGATTTTTTGCATAATTTAGCATTCTTAATATTCACAAAATTTTCTTAAGTATTAAGTAAACCCACTAACAAGGATTTATTTCCTTTTAAATATCACATAACACATTTGCCACTGAAGGAATAGAAACTTAACATGCTTAAAATGTTCATTAAGTTTAATTAATGTTAAGTCATGCAAAAGTAACTGTAAAACTTCAAAGTTAAATTAAGAGAAAGTTTTAAGCAGACTAAATATGCCTTTCTTCCCTGAGCATTGTTTTTTGCTCTATTACTTTCATCAGCGTGGGTTTCATTACAGGTATCTCCTAAGAAAACATGTTACCTTTTTATGTGAAGAATAACACCAAAACCTCTGTTTGGACCTCTTTACAAAAAAAAAAAAAAAAAAACAAAACAAAAAAAAAAAAAAAAACCACAAAACCCAAAAACACACACACCACAAAAAAAACCCAACAAACAAAAGAACAAAGAAAACAGTTCTTCTTTTCTCATTACACGCATTACCACTAGGAAAACATCTGGCATAAAATAATTCTACTAGGTTTATACCACTTGAATAATTAGTTTTCCTTGGGCATTTTCATACCAGCATTAACTAAGCTAGTACAAGCTTCTTCCCTCGTCCCCAGCTACCTCTAAAAAGCCTAAAGCAGAAAAAGTTAAACAGAAAAGACGATTCAGTAACAATGCAATACTTGCTTTCCTCTTGCCCTGCCATTATTTTGCAAGTCTAACTACATAATACAACCAGCTCACTTAATATTTGTAAAAGGACAAACCTACACATCAACCTGATAATACACAGATAACAGGCAAAATCCCCACCAGCACTGACCCTTTAATGATGAGCTACTGTTTAAAATCCTGAAGTGACACTCCATGGAATAATCACACCCGTATCACTAATCATTCTCAAACAAACAGGGAAATACAACCAGGTGCTCAAAACAGATAAAAAGCACCTAAGAGTTAAAAATTTGTTGTCCCATGAGAAGGCAATAAACATTATGAGTTCTGATATATGAACAGAAGCTACTGAAAAGCCTAGCCTCGTGCCTGAGAAATGATTCAAGAAGAGGAGTGACCTATTCCTAACGTCATCTGTTTAAGAATTAGACCCTCCAAACTTCCATACGTGATTGGGTCTTTCAAGTGCTGAACACCACACGCCCTCACAATCCGCTCATAGAGACTGCACCGAAGTCGCAGTCCAGCATCAGCACCGCTCTTACCAAGCTAAGACTCACAGGCCGAGAGACATCAAATTAATAGAATTTCTCCAACACAGTTTGACCTATGCTTGAGATTACATTAAGCATCACAGAGCTATCAAAAGCCATGCCCTCCCCTTTTCTGTTAGTAGCTTGCTCTCCCTCTGATCACATTGTCCATTTTAACAGTGACTCCACTGGGACAGGACCGTGGATTACAGAATTTTAAAAAAATACTTAAATAAATAAAAATGTCCTTGATACATTTCAGAATCGATATACTGTTGCCGGCCACCCTCCCAACCCTTTTCAGCTACTCCCTTCACAAGTACCTCTTTACAGATGAGACGTGCTTTTTGGTTTGATACCACAAAACCAGAGGGAGAGACTAAACGAAGGGGTTGATAGCAGTCAACATGCCGTAATTCAAAGAAGCAAGACGAAGAATTCATCTGGAAGCTAAAGCATCTGTATTACTTCATACAGACCTTGGAATTTAGTGCCGTGATTATTCATTACAGCACTTTGGTAACGGCACTGGCTTACATCTTCATTCAAAACCAGCTTGTGTTCAAACGGCCAAGTCTTACAGACAGTACCTACAGCGAGTAACATACCCGGTCATATCAGTTTTCCATAACAAAGATGGTCATGTTTTAGGAAAAAGGTGAAAGGAGAAATTTCCTCATTCTGACCACAGCATCTGGTTAAGCAATAGGACACTGCAAGAAACAGATCTTCACGTTTGAAGCTTTATTCCACAGGGTCCATCTCCCATGCCACTCCTTGCTGCAGTAGCCATCCACCTCTGAGCACCCTGCTTAAGTTTGCCTCTCTTGTTTCAGAATACATGACCAGCTTTTTCCCCAGCTTAAATCAGGCTTGATCCAACTTCAGCCTTCCAAATTCATGGTTCACCTCTTTCACTTCCCAGAACATACTCACTCATCAAGTTGAACTCAGTGCTCCACTGCATTAACAGCCCTGGAATGGTGGCAGAATCCTCCAATAACTGCTTAAGCCTGTCTGGGTACTCTAGCAAACATGACAAATATCTCCTTCACAAGCTCTCAGTAAAAGAGTAAAGAAGTATTTTGTCACCACTTGAAAGAAGCCTACGTACCAGCAGAGTACATTTCAGACTCAAAAAGGCCTGTCAGGCTGTCCTCTCGTGTTTCAGATCACCGTGTCCATGATAACTGACAATGCTAATGCACTTGTGTTGTGTTGATGCAAAGCATTTTCAAATCCCCTACTCTACATCTCTCTTTTTCTTCTTGAAAGTTAATCCCTTTCCACACAAATTTATGTAGATAATACTTGGACTTATCAGGAATATATATACACTCACACACACACATACACACAAACAGGCACACATACATGTGTGGATTTTTTGTTTTGAAGAAATGGAGAAAATGATACTCTTGGTTGTTTAAAACTATTTCCCCATTCAATTGGGAAAAAGTAAGAAAGAATCAAGCATTTATTAAAAAAAAACCCCACAACAATTAACAGTCATTGAAGCGACAGAATACCCACTAATGCATAATTATCTCACACCAGTTATACCGATAGAACATTTTGGTTGAGTTTACTTTTTTTACCATCTACCTTAGACAGGAGAGGGGCAAAAGGAAGGAGAGCCAATACGATAGAGCAGAAGGGGAAAAGGTAGTTTTAGCGTACGCATGTGAAAATACAGATCTAACGACCAACATTACGTAACATACTTTTTTTTAATTTTAAGTTCTATTTTGTTAGTAACAACATATTTGTTTATCAGTGTTGGAGGAAAAAAGCTGATGCAACATGCTGCAAGGGATTGTTTTCTGTTCATCTTTCATTATGCAATGCATGTGCAGCTCAAGTGTGTACCTTTAGTGATACCTTCAGCTGGGAACTAATTTAATCCCACAGAAAGTGCACTTCTTCAAACCCATTTAGGGCCTAAAGAAAAAATGACAACACTAAACAAAATGTTCTGTCAATTTACCATACTTTAAACAAAACTAATGATAATCATGCCAAAGAACATACACAAACATGCTGAAATACTTCAGAGACATAATTAAGAAAAAAATTCTACCACCAGTACTTCTGCAATAAAAAAAAGTAAGCACACATGGCTCTTCAAAATTACCATTCTACCTGTTCATTAATTTAGCCTCTCAATAGTATTAAAAGTCATCATGAGAATTTTTTTATAAATACATAGTTTTACTCAATGCCATTTGAGCTGTTAAAGCATTTCACTCTCAGCTGGAATGTCCAGTTCATATTAAACTCCCCCTTGCTTTTTTAGAAAAAAACAAACAGAGAATAATTTTAATAGATAATTAACAGTAAAAACTGTCAGTCATTAATATGATAAGGATGAAAATTAAAGGGAGACAAAAAGGAGTACACGGAATTACAGTGTGGAGAAAGCAGAGATTTAGCTGAACTTTAGCCTATCTGAACCTGAGCCTTAGTCTCTAATTTCTATCCAGTCTGTACCCAAGGAGAACAAAGACCCTTATATTGTCATGGGAAATGAATGGGTAATTTCATCTTATTTCCATCCAGCAAGTGGCTTACCAATTGCATTTACTAGTATTTGGCAGCAAAAGTAAATATACAAAAGAAATGGATTGTTTTACTATTTCTTTTACCTGAAAGAAGACCTGAGGCTAGGAGTGTAGTAGAAAAAAAATTAAGTATACATACAGTTTCAAGGGATGTAAACTATATATACAGAAACATGAACTGCTGAAACTATTAATTACACCAAGAAGTTCACTCAAAAAAACCCCCCATGTTATATCGCTTGGTAGAAAAATGAAATAAGGAGCTAGGAATGCCACTGAAAAATTAGAAGATACTTTGTAGCACAAAAATCCACTAAATTCTATTGCAACATAATATAAAACTTCTTTAAGCCTGACTAAATTTATGACACTAGGAAGCTACCGATAGTTTTCTATTTCTGTGTTACTTCTAGAGGCACCCAAGAATGGAAATAGAAGTCAAAGAAAGGGGGAGAGGGAGGAAAGTCAATCACAACGCAGTCTCAAACTTGCACTTCTCTTCCTCACTGGCACTGAGCCTTTCCATTTGTCTAAGCACATAACTTCCACACTCAAACGCAACGGTGCAGCCGTGCAGCTAAGTTAGGCCTAGTCAGCACAG